CGGTAGAAGACGGGGAGTTTAGCATGTCGTTCACACAGCCTAAGACAGAAGAAGGAAGAGTATCTTCTGCCCTATATAACAGGAAACAGAGTGATCAGAGATTGCAGGCTGGAAATAGCACCATTTATATGGTGGCACAAAGAGCACAACAGACTGGGTCTTGTCAATCGTGCAAGAATACAAGATAGCTATAGACAGCATGCATCTGCACACACAAACACCCAGCTTATGTATGCTCATAGTTTTTCTGTTAGAAGACATTTCAGAGATCCCCAGGTTTTTTGCCCTAGTGGGCACACTTGAAAATTTGAAAGTATATTACAAGTGTCATTACAAATGGCTGCTATGGGCCTTGCCTATACACAGAACAGGCCTTCGGGGGAACGTGGCTAGTGACAAAGCATTGGCATATCAGAATGTTGGCCATCCTCCCTTTCTTTGCTTAATGTGGTCTTGTTTTGAACAGGCAGGCACAAAGCACAACTTCAGCCACCTGTCAGATTTATAAGGGGCATCCTAAGAGGCCTTCTTCGAAATAAAGTATTTTTACATAATGTTTTAATGTAAAAAAACCCAAATCAGGTAGGGAACAGGTGGCAGATAAGCATCAGGATAAGCGTCCACAAACACAGGGGCACTCCATACAGATGCGACATTAACCCACACTTGTTATCTAAGGACTGAGCTGTGAATTCAGATTTTACTTGAAATACAGTATATAGGAATAACTGTGTTATATATTACTCCAAGGTGATGAATGGAACAGTTTGAAAATTTTAAAGCTAAAAAAGTGATATAACTGTAATATTTTTAAGTCTGTCTCCATAATTTTTCTCTGCATTCAGATCTTTACTACATTGCAAGAAACCATTAAATGTTTCATGACAGCGGTGTATTTATTAGCTCCTGTATGGCTTTTTTTTTTTTAAATGAGCTGCGGAAATAACAAAAGGTTTGATGAAAAAGCATTTGACCTCTTTCACATTTCCTGAATATTTGCAGATCTTTACCACTGAATATAACCAGAGCTTTCTGTAGGTCCAACTGAGAATCTAACTAAACAAAGAGCTTGCTGATTGTTTCACTTATTTATTACACAAAAAATCAATTTGCAGTATACCAGTGTGAAAAAGTAATAATTCTCCAAATTCAAGGAATTTATAAATCTGAATAAATTCCACAAAATGTGAGATTTTTTTAACTCCCTCTCAATGCAGAAAAAGTTATGAAAACAATTCTACACTTGTGAGGCTCCACCAATTCAAAGATGGAGAAGATAACAAAGAACTTTCCCAAAAGTTGTTGTCCTGACAAAATCACTCCAACTGCATGGGATTAAAATAATCTAGGAAATATTAGAAGCCCCAGAATAATAGTGTTCTGCATCACTTTTGCTTTAGCTTAAGTCGATGTTCAAGACTCAACCACCCAAAAATGCTGGGTAAAAATGGGATTCAAGGAAAATTAAAAAGGCAGAAGATATAGGAGATGACCAGGCTGAGCCCAAGGGGGAGGTGTCAAACGCGTCATAAGTCAGGAGTCCCTTCGTGCCCTCAAGAGATCTAAGTCCAGCCTACCTTGAGTTCCTTAGATTAATGTCAGGTGCCCAGGAAATCAGGAGATTCAGGCAGTTCAAATGAGTATAAAGATGTATTGCAAGCTTAAGTTCTCTGCAAGTATTTTACCAAGTGACTGTTAAGGGAAATTCCTTCTATTCTAAGAATAGAAAGGAATTCAAGGTGGGCTGTACTTAGATATCTTGCAGGTGCGAAGGGACTATTGACGTATGATGTGTATGACCTCTCCCTCAGGCTCAGCCTGGTCATCTCCTACAGAAACCATTGTTTATTAAAATATCATTGCTCATCTCAAGTTTGCTCTAAAGCTCCTAAATGACTCTTCAGTCTTCATCAGACCAATGAAGCAAGAGTGGTACTTTGTGGGCTAAATGGGTATCATTGTGTTTCCTGGAAACCAGTCAGTCAGAATGTTATGCCAGCTTTCAAGTAGTTCCATAATTTGGACACACTCTGCTGATTTAGGGCCTGGATGATGTACAACATGACAGAACCATGAAATCTACTTTCTACTAGGAAATTCTACAGGAAAATATCAAGCTCTACAACCTACCCATCAGCTGAAGCGCACATCATGTAGCAAGACAATGATCCCAGACGTACAGGCCAGTCTAAAGAGAATGCACGATGAACAAATTCAGGATGTTGCAATGGTCAAGTAAGAATCAGACCCAAATCCCTGCGGGAAAACCTGAAACAAGCAGTTCCTGCTGGAAAACCTTCCAAGTATTACTGAGTTAGTCATGGAGCAATGAAGCAAAACTCTTACACAAGATGTGAGAGACTAGTAACAGTTACAGGATTATTTGCAGAGATGTAAAAAATAAAATAAAAGGCATAGCCTGTTGGCTGAATCAAAGTAGGGAATTACTGTACTTTTTCAAATTGGCAGATCATATGCAGGATTACTTTGTTTCTGAAATAAATGGAAAAAGTACCAAACTTTGGCCACTTAGATTCCTTTTATAAAATAATAGGACCTATATGAAAATTCAAAATGGGGAACATATTTTTTCAGGGAAATTTTACCTTCCAGCGGTTTAGAGAGCAAGGTTGCAGTTGAATAAATCTCTTTCCAAATTTTGTATATGATGCTTATTTTTATCAATGAAGAGAAACTTTATTCTAGAAGCTTGAATTTTCTGCCTTTTGTGTTTTATAATTTCTGAAAACTTAAAACTCCAAAGATGTAAGCATGAAAGAAAGACTTTTGTTAAAAAGAACTATGAGGTTAATGCATATCTCTTTTCTACTTTTTTTTCTATTTAATAAATACCCTGCTTGTGATTTTTTTTCTTGCTCTTTCCAACTTAATGTGAAATATTGTGAAGAAACTGCCAACAATTTCTTAATGAAATTAGATGCTTCTATAAATTATGTTTAATTAAAATTGTGAAAATATAGCTTTCATGAACCCGATAAACTTATTGCATTGAGTCCCATCTTTTTTAACTAAGCTGAGGATTCAGGCTTCATAATCTCACACAGTGTAAAACTTTCAGTACTGGGTCTAAGTTATGTTATTAAATTCTTGGACTAAGTGAAAAAGGATACCTACGTGAATCTTGTCAACAGCCTCCAGTTTAAATAATCCAAATTCATATCAGCGCTATTGCAATAAAATTTATTTACAAATTAATCCCGTTGCTCTATTAATTATTTGTGTAATTACTGCAATTCTTCCCACCTTGTTTTCAGTATTTCTTAATCATTAAGCCGGAAGCCTGACAGCAGTGCCAGCCCTGGCATGATTCTTTTTGACTAAAACCTTGTAAATTAACACAATTAGCACAGCATCATGCTGCTAATTAACTTCCTGTGTCTGGTACAGCGGATGTGCAAACAAGGAATAGGGATTCAGCAGGGAATAAACATGCCACTCTGTTGCCAAACTATATGTTGTGTTCCGTCTAGCTCAGCAGGGCTAAGACAGTCACGCCAAGATGCTGGAGTCAGGCAAAGAAGAGCTAAATGAAGAAGCGCAAAATAGGAAGAGTGCAGGCTGTTAAGCAAAAGATAGTAGTAATTTATCAGAGAAACTCTGTCATCCATGTTTGATGTATCACGAGCCTTTTTATCTGAGCATCTGTTCCAAATAATGGCAAATAGGGAAAGAAGGAAAGGAAAGGAAAGGAAAGGAAAGGAAAGGAAAGGAGGAAGAAAAGGAAGGAAGGTTGTTTTAGTGCTGCCTACTAGGCAGAACAGTCTAAGGTGATATGATATGATAAGATGAGATGATAAGGTAAGATAAACTTTATTGCCACTTTTTCTGTGAAATGGCACCCATTAAATGAAATTCTGATGCCTGCTCTTAAAAGAAAATGAATATACACAGAGAGAGAGATGGGGGAGGGGGATATAAAGGATTTTAAAGGATTTTTTTCTGATGAATTCTACCTGCCTTGTACAGGACTAAACTAAATCCAAATTAAGATAACCTCTTCTCTGTTTTGGCAAGCTCATTTTGCCAGAGCAAGTGTTGATTCTCTTCTGGTGGCCAGCATTTGTTCCATTGCCCCCCCCCTTCAAACTGTTAGTAATTGACTTACATCTACAGTACTTCTCTTTTCTCCCCCCCCCATTCCCTGTTGGTTTGGGGGGAATTGGAAGAGAATGGGAGGAGAAAGAAGATGGACAAGTGTTGCTGGGCTTTGCTTTCTACACCCCCCATCTCACACACCCCCGCTTCCTTCCAGCGGCTCAACAACAGAACTCTGACGCAGAGAGCAGCCCGTTGTAATTCATACCAAGTTGTAGGCTTTGTGTGATGAAAGCAATGGAGCGCTGCCTGGGAGATTGCTTTGCTGCACTCCACGAAGCAGATTTGAAACTGTCGTGGACCACTTTAGATGAGAGTTGGATTATGGAGTGACCTGCTATGTCTGTGTCATATGGTTCTGCACAGGGTGCATTATACGGTGCTAACTAGGTGTTCAGTACCAAATGAGAAAGGTATCCTAGATGTGATTTGTCAGCTGTAGCTTACGGAAGGTTGTTTTTTTTCCTCCTCTGTCAAAATTTAAAAGTGCAATGAGGGAAGATGGTATGCTTCAGATGTCGAAGAACAGATTGTCTAATAGCAGATCCATGCTTGGGATACGAAGAAAGTCCATGCGTGACCCTTTAAAACAAATCCGGCTGGATAAAATGTTTTTCTTTGACTCTCTCTCCTCCTTCCAAGTTAGCAAAACACATTAGAAGGGTAGGTGTATCCTTCCCCCCCCCCAAAGAAAATGAATCACTGGCAGTACTTTTTTACTATTCTTTTACAGATAATTTGCATGTCATGTTTTGATTTGAACCTTACAATTCTGCATATAAATGAAGAAATCGAGTTGATGCCCTCAGATATCACTGCACTTTGTCTTTTTTTAAATCTAATTGCTAATTTTGCTTTTCCTCCCTCCCAAACCCTTAGGCTTGAAGATGCAGTGGACGCCAGAACATGCCCAGTGGCCAGAGCAGCACTTTGACATCACTTCAACCACCCGCTCTCCCGCCCACAAGGTAGAAGCTTACCGTGGACATCTTCAGCGCACCTATCAGTATGCCTGGGCTAACGACGACATCTCTGCTCTCACAGCCTCAAATCTGCTAAAGAAATATGCAGAAAAGTATTCCGGCATTTTGGAAGGGCCAGCCGAACGTCCCATCCTGGGTAACTATGTGGAGCCTCCATCAGGGCTGGTGAATGGTCGCAAAAGTGAAAGTGAGCCCTGGCAGCCTTCTTTGAACTCTGAGAGTGTTTATCCTATGAACTGTGTCCCAGATGTTATTGCCGCCAGCAAAGCTGGAGTAAGTACTGCCCTCCCTCCGGCAGATGTCTCTGCCAGTATAGGGAGCTCACCTGGGGTGGCTAGTAACCTGACAGAACCTAGTTACTCAAGTAGTACATGTGGAAGTCATTCAGTCCCTAGTCTACATTCAGGGCTCCCATCTCAGGAATATGCCACAGGATATAACGGATCGTACCTGCATACAAGTTACAGTGGCCAGCCAGCACCTGCACTTCCTTCACCTCATCCCTCTCCTTTGCATAGCTCTGGGCTTTTACAGCCACCCCCTCCGCCACCGCCGCCACCAGCCCTAGTGCCAGGCTACAATGGGACATCCAACCTTTCCAGTTATAGCTACCCACCAGCAAGTTATCCCCCTCAAAGTGCTGTTGGGCCTGGCTATAGCCCTGGTGGAGCACCACCTCCTTCAGCCTATCTGCCTTCAGGTATCCCTGCCCCAACTCCTCTTCCCCCCACCACAGTACCTGGGTACACCTACCAGAGTCATGGGTTAACGCCCATTGCGCCGTCGGCCCTGACCAACAGCTCAGCAACTTCTCTCAAGAGAAAAGCTTTCTATATGGCAGGACAAGGAGAAATGGACTCCAGCTATGGAAATTACAACTATGGCCAACAGAGATCTACACAAAGCCCCATGTACAGGATGCCTGACAACAGCATTTCCAATGCCAGCAGAGGGAATGGCTTTGACCGAAGCTCTGAATCCTCCTCCTTGGGCTTTAAGCCAACCAAACAAATCATGGCTTCCGAGCAGCAAAGGAAATTTAACCAGTCTGGTCGGGCTCTGACGCCCCCTTCCTATAGTTCTGCTAAGAATTCCCTCGGCTCCAGAGCAAGTGAGCCCTTTGGGAAGTACAGCTCTCCTGTCATGAACGAACACAGCGAAGAACATAGGCAGCTTCTTCCTCATCCAATGCAAGGCCCAGGACTTCGTGCAGCTACCTCATCCAACCACTCTGTGGACGAGCAACTGAAGAACACTGATGCGCACCTCATGGACCTTGTGACCAATGAGATTATCAACCAAGGACCACCGGTGGACTGGAATGACATTGCTGGACTAGATTTGGTGAAGGCTGTCATTAAAGAGGAGGTTTTATGGCCAGTCTTGAGGTCAGATGCATTTAATGGGCTGACTGCTCTACCTCGGAGCATCCTCTTATTTGGACCTCGGGGCACAGGCAAAACATTACTGGGGAGATGTATAGCTACCCAACTAGGTGCCACATTTTTCAAACTCACAGGCTCTGTTCTTGCCACAAAGTGGTTAGGAGAAGGAGAAAAAATTGTTCACTCTTCCTTCCTGGTGGCAAGGTGTCGACAGCCCTCGGTGATTTTTGTTAGTGACATTGATATGCTCCTTTCATCCCAAGTGAGTGAAGAGCACAGTCCAGTCTGTCGGATGAGAACCGAGTTCCTTATGCAGCTGGACACTGTGCTCACTTCTGCTGAGGACCAAATAGTAGTCATCTGTGCCACCAGTAAACCGGAAGAAATAGACGAATCTCTTCGAAGGTACTTCATGAAACGACTTTTAATCCCACTTCCTGACAGCACAGCCAGGCACCAGATAATAGTACAGCTGCTTTCACAGCACAATTACTGCCTCAGCGATAAGGAGGTTGCACTGCTAGTCCAGCGTACAGAAGGCTTTTCTGGACTCGACGTGGCTCATTTGTGTCAGGAAGCCATAGTGGGCCCTCTCCATGCCATGCCAGCCACAGACCTTTCAGCCCTTATGCCCAGTCAGTTGAGGCCTGTCACGTACCAAGACTTCGACAAGGCTTTTTGCAAAATACAGCCTAGCATCTCTCCAAAGGAGCTCGATACATACGTTGAATGGAACAAAATGTTTGGTTGCAGTCAGTGACAAGTCGTCTCTCGCTTTTTTTAAAAAAAAAGAAAGAAAAAAGAAAAGTGAAACAAAAAAAAACACACACAAAAAATGTAATGAATGTTGGTGCGTGCACACACACACACACACATGTACACACACAAACCTGTTACATAGGACACGGAACCCCTTTTTCAGTCGTGTTGAAGTTGTGGAAGGGTACTGGGGGTGGGGGTGGGGAGATAATCACGTTGCATCTAAACAGCCAGGTTTAGGCTTGAAGGAATAGTGCATCGGAGGAGAGCTATTGATCTGCGAAGCCACAGATGAGAGGAGGAGTCTGTTGATGTTCCGTTCCATTTCGTTCAGAATAGACAACACGCTCTCACCATGGAGGGTTGATTTTTTTTAGAAGGACATGAACCCCGTGTGTTGATTCATTCGGCTGTTTTTTGGGTTTAGTTGCTGTCAAGTGCCTAACGTGGTACTTTTATTTTTTTTTTCCTTTCTTTCTTTTTTTTTGCCTCACAATTACATTGGTGGCATGTGCTAATATAAAGAGCTTTAACTTCAAAATGTTATGGGACTAAAGACATGAACAGTTGTGTTGTGACAGAGAACCAGGTGTGACTTTGGTTTACTTTTGCTTTTTTTTTTTTCTTCCCCTCTTTTGGCTAGTCTAAAAGCAACAGTATTCCTCAATCCTGTTCTGTTCTGCAGTATTAAACTAAGAACAGGTAAAACAGGGTAATGGTAATCTGGACTTTAATTTCTGCGGTTTGTTTTGTTTATTGTTCTGTCTGCAAAAAAAGAAAAAAAACTCAGGAAAGTGATTGTGATTTGTACAGTACCTCAAAGGAATGTGTTGAAAGCACTATGTACTGCTGAGATTTAATAGGCTAGGCTTCAATGTTACTTTATCTTAAATATGTATGTTTACCTCAATGGTTGGGAAAAAAATGACAAGGAGAAATATTTTGAATGTATTAAGGAGCAAACTGAAGTGTGCTAAAAAAAGATAATCTTTAAATCTTTGAAAATACAGCAGACGTATCCCAGTGTTTAAGAAACGTTTTTCTTTCTTTCTTTTTAACCAATATTGGGGATCAAATTGGAGCAAGGCAATTTTCATGGCAGTCATGTGTGGAAGTCCTTAGTCCTAGACAAATTTTGTGACAAGTCAGTAGAGAGCACACAGACAGTAAAAAAAGTCCCTCTGTTGAATTGTCAAATCATCTGGGCTAGTCAGAGACGAGATCTGATTAGGACTCTGAGAGGCAAATTACCTTAGACCACAAGATACAACTTTTGTATCTCAGCTAAGGTTGTAGCATCTTGATTCTCCCAATGCATCAGTAGCACAGAATACTTGTAGGTCATAGAGAGCTTAGGGCAGTGGTGGGATTCAGCCAGTTCATACCAATTCGGCAGAACCAATAGCTAATTTTTTGTTGCCCAGGCCCAGAATGGGCTTCTGGAAGCGGCATCCACACAAAGAACCGGTTGTTCACAAATTTGAATCCCACCACTGGCTTAGGGGCTGCAGAGCTGTTTACAGCAAAGCAGCAGATAGCTACCAAACAAGACAAAAGCAAGACAAAATTGAACCCTCAAATGGCATCTCTCTTCCTCTTTGCTTTGCATTTTCACCACCAAATGAAAAGTTATCCCTTTGTTTTTATGTGTGCTGTTGCCTCTTCTGTTTCCTTGATGGCTTTGTTTGTTTTATTTTTAATGTGATCATTCCACAGTCATTAGAAATTTGCCCGGCCGGAAAATGCCCATCATTTTATTTCTACCTCAGATTTTGTTTTATTTGTCTTTAGAGAGGCACATAAAGAATAGGACAAGCCAGATTACCACTAGCATGCAGAGCTGTTGAAGGCCCTATTAACACATAATCCTAAGTAGGGTTCTTTGAAAAGAACCAGCTTTGTGTTTGGCGAGGTTTTCTCCCAAGTAAGTGTCTGAAGAATTGCAGTCAAAAATAGAGGCCCTTTGGCCACCTATGGCAAATGGTGACTGTTTTCCTTCAGGAAAGAGAAGCTAGATGGGATATGTGGCATTTTATTCTATTTGTGCCCCTGCTCCACATTGTCTCCCTTTTTTATTCTTTAATGCTTTTATGAGCAATTCCTTTCATGACAGCTGACTGATGCTGTAATGTGGCTGAACAGTAGAGCAATTCAAACTTTCACAGCCACATGAGCAGAAAGCAGCCTCTCTCTCTCCCCCCCTCCCTCCCTTTCTCTTTTCCCTCTCTGTTTTTTTAATGTAATCTTTTGTTTACTTTAAAGAAACAGCAGCAGAACAATTACAAATCATTGGCATTTAACGTTACTTTTTTAAGTAAGGTACCTTCAAATCCATGAGATAAATGCACTGAAAAGCTCTAATGAGAAAAAGACCAATTAGTCACCTACTTATTTTGTCTTTAAAGCTACTGCCCAATTATTACACGTGGTGTTTCCTCTGCTAAAATGTTAATTTTCATTGCTAAAAATTGAGCAAATAAACCAAAACGCACGTCCTAAAGGTCCTTTTGTTCATTCTAAACTTATGGGTTGCTTCTAAAAGGCAGAGGAGTTCATTAAAAAGTAAAACAGTGCCTTTCACTAAGGATATAGTAAAATAAGTCTTAATAAATGCTTTGCATTTTCAGTTAGCAAAGGTCTTTCTTTTTCTGTTTTTCTTCCCCATCTATTTCTTCCATTATATATTTTCCATTTGGGAAGAGCCACAATCCCCTTCCCCAGATTCATATTGATCTTGCAGATGGCTTTCTGATGCATATTGCTGACGAATCTTCTGACTTTTAGATATCACATTATGCTATTGTGCTGCCGTCTATTTGAAAGGTTCAAACATGTTTTGAAAAACTAAATTTACAATTGTATCACCTCTGTCTGTACATCCTTTAAAACTAACGTTATCTAATTTTAAGGTGACACCAAATACATTCAGTTCATGTACAGTATAATCCCAGTAACACTTCAGTTAGCTTTGGAATCGGCAGGTGCTTGGTTTAACTCACATTTTACTCTGTATATTTGGGGAAAACAAATTACAGTATTCTTCCAGTGAGCTTCATAAATAAAAGACTTAATTGTGAGGTTAAGAAACTTCAAAGAGTTTGTCCTCTCCCAAATCCTTTGAATCTTATATTGCGGATTCATGGCTGAAAATATCAGGACATTTTCTCCCAATTGGTAATTAGCTACAACTAGTGAGGTGTAATATTTTACCTGATACAAAAATAATAGTTTTATTTACTGTACTGCCCTTGTACAAAATTGAGGCAAGCTATAATCCACTCTCCGCTCCCTGCCAATGGAGATTCCCTGGTAAATAGAATCACTCCGACTTTGCCTGGTTCACTCAGAACTATTTAGTTCAACCCTGAGCTACGAATATTATCCTTTTTTTGGCCATTGCTTCTTTTTTTGCACTTTTTAGACAAATAAGGCCATTTGTTCCTTCTGCTGCTACATTTAGGCCTGTATAGAATTGCAACCATATACATTTCATTGCAATCAAAACTCCTTCTAAGAATTTCCTTTCCGGGCTATTTGAGTGTTCCACAAATGAGAAGACTAGCTTTTGAGAGGGAGTTTGATATGGCCAAAACATACTAGCATTCTGAAGAGGTAAAATGGTTCAGCTGTGTTTTTCATTTGATTGGGACTCTGGATTCTGCCTGAGTAAGCATAAAACGATGAGGTTGTATGGCCAGATTTCATACGAGGCAGATCTTCTACACCAGGGGTCTTCAAACTTGGCCCTTTTATGACTTGTGGACTTCAACTCCCAGAATTCCTCAGCCAGCATGCCTGGCTGAGGAATTCTGGGAGTTGAAGTCCACAAGTCATAAAAGGGCCAAGTTTGAAGACCCCTGTTCTACACTTTGAATAAAAAGAGCATTAACCATTAATACCTTTTCCACCATTACATCTTTATGATGGCTGAACTTCCATTGGCTCAATTCTCTCTTCACTTCAGGATATACAGCTTGGCTTCATCGTTTGTTGGAAAATTCTAGGAATAATTGGAGATAAATATATATCAGATGCTTCCCTTTCTACTTGAGACAATTTTTCATTAGATGAGACTTCATTGTCTCTCTCTCTCTCCTCCCCCTCAGTTTTTTTCTCTGGTGACAAGAATAATTATAATAACAAAAGAAAAAGCAGGGGACTGGTTTCTGCTAACCAAATTATCACTGCCAACTGAAATCATGGCACAATGACTTTTTAAAATATATTTATAAATAAATCTTCACTTCTAGCATGCTCCCCTCCAAAATATTTAGGCCATTAAGGATAGTAGTGAAAAGTTTGCTGACTGAGCTGATCAATGGAATGTGAAGGCAGTTTGGGGCTATTTACTTTTTTTTTTAAACAAAATATTTCTGTATTAGTCAATTTGTATTCTATTCAAATGTAGATAGATGGGCAAAATGGTTTTCCTTGTGCATTTCAAACCCATCAAGGAGAAAATAAAACCTCCCAGTAAAACACATAGGCAAAGCACCATCTGGGAAAGCTAGCTCATCTGTCCAGGGGCTATGCTCTGCAAAATAGTACAAGGTCATTTTATATGGGTTAGCATAATACTTTGCTAGGCAATTTTCAAAAGGAGATAATCTAGTGTAAAAACCCCAATTAATTCCAACAGATGTTGGTGGATGGTAATGTGTTTACATGTCAAAAGCTGCAAATAAAGGTTTTTACTGCCTGAAAATGTGTGCAACTTTGAGTAGAGGAACAGTTATAAGTTCCATAATACGTTTCACTCTAATCTACAAATATAGATAATCTTTTGGAAAGTGAAATCTCAGAAATACAGTACACATACACACACATGCTAGAATTGAGTAAATTTTGCAGAAACTAATCTGTACAAGCCTATTTATTTTGGTGGAGCTATCCCTGTATACACCTAACCTCTCATGGTTTAAACTTTCATCCTTAGACAGGCACAAGTGCACAAGTTACATTGATGTGATTGCCTAAGAGTCTCCTGTCTATGGAGATTCTCAGTCATCC